AATAACCGGCAAGGGTGCAGGATGTCTCATGAGCCGCCCACTCTCGGGTGCCGATACACAGGGGCTTTCTTGAGGATTTCCTTCGCAAATTATAATATCATTTTCGGTATAATAAGCCAAATTGAAGTTAAAGACATTATTAACTTTAAGCCTTTTGATATTGAATTATACCAACTATACTAATTTACCAAACGGCGTCAGCGAATTTAGCAATACCTATCGCCAAGTGCCAAGGATGTTGCACGTATCTGCCAAGTTTTGAAATTTTTTTTCAAGTGACTTTGTTACTAATGAATCAAAGCCGTTTAACACATAACATTTTACCAGTAAACCGGCTTCTGTCATCAGAAGAAACTACCTGCGGGGTTTATAGCTACTGCTCCTGAGCTGACGAGCCGACAAAAAGTTCGGGTGGCTGCGGTTCGGTCGTCCTTAGACCTGGCTCATCAGTAATTGCGGCAGTGATCCGGAGACCACTTTCTCGGCATGGTGTCAGCCTCTGCGCGGCCCACTTCCACTTTCGATCGCCGCTCGGTGTCTCCGGGGCCTCTCGGTCTCCCACGCGCCGCCACGACCCGGCGACCCCCGGCGGTCGGCGGTCGATGCGCAGAGTCGGACCAGGGCGTCTTATCTTAGGGATCTTAGTCGAATGAGGGATGGTGCAGATGGTTTAGATACAATTTAACTTGCTTGCTAGGCAACAATTATTCTGTACGTTTGCATTGGTGCCATCGTTTTTTTTTTTCTAGTATTTCCCAGGAACAATTTTGAAAAGGTATACAAAGTTTCTGATGCGAACCAAAGTCCATATCTTTCCACGGATTCTCACACACGTCCCGTCGGTCGGCCCGGCCCGTCCATCGGAGCGGGCTGGACACGCCGTGACCCCGATAGCCGCCATACACGGCACCTATTTCCATAGGCGGCGGCCGGCGCGCGCCCAGGAGTTTCACCGGCGGTGACGTGGTGCGTGGCTGGCCGCCGGCGGTCACAGCCGGGTATATGGACCAGCCTATAGCGCTGAGTGCCTGGTATATGGACCAGCCTATAGCGCCGAGTGCCTGGTATATGGACCAGCCTACATATAGGGCTGGCCGGCGGTCACAGCTGGGTATATGGACCAGCCTATAGGGCTGGGCGGCGGTCACAGACTGGTAGATGGACCAGCCTATGGGGGTGGGTGGCGGTCACAACCTGGTAGATGGACCAGCCTATAGGGGTGGGTGGCGGTCACAACCTGGTAGATGTGATTGAGCAGCCATCGGGGGTGGCTGGGCAGTGAGCAGTCAGATGTAGTATGCCGTTGACCTTTTCTTCTGTAATGACCCGACTTGACATTGAGATGACATTGACCTGGCTAGACCTTGATTTCAATGGCTTATGACGAATAGGTAATAGCTGAATTGCAAAACGGATCATCGGAATATGTCTCTTTTCTATACTTTTTAAATATCTATGTGAGCCGTTAATCCTATGCTGGTCGAAGTTTCGAAATTGGTTCAATATGCCGCGAAGTCCAAAAGAAGCACCCTTCACAGTAGGAAGTTTCTCACTATTCACCCCTCACGGTTACGGCGGTTAGTGCTGTTGTGTAGCTACGGCGAGTCAAAGTTCAGCAGATAACCCCACTGAAACATTATTCCTCGATTGTGAACAGCCATCATAGATCACGCGTTAATCAGACGTCCAGAATGCATATGCATGATCGGCACATGATGTCGGCTCCAATGCATAATTCATGTCAATGCCCAGCTTTCTCCGATCGAGCTGTCCGAATAGCTGAGTAATAGTTCCTTCCTCCCATATTCCTAACATTTTGGAGGGATAGTGAAAGTTTCGATCAATCATCACTTTTCGACAGTCACTTGCAGCTCCTTGCGTTGGGGGCTGGAGCTATACACAAGTAGACCATTAAAAACGAGCATGCATAGGCGCTATCGGAAAATGCTCCCTGGATCACATATTGCCTACTTACATATTGCTCTTCTTCGTGAAACCATAGTGGCATGATTCACACGTTCCGCACACCAGAACACGAGCCTTGGGGAATTCCAGTGCCGAGAGTTACCGATGGCCGGGGCTCTCATCCTCCCAAGCCGACACCCCCGCCAGTTGGCGGCTCAGCGCTACTCCGTGCCTACTCAGAGACCGAGCAGGCACCCTTCCGCCCACAGACAGTCCCCGGATGTGAGCAGGATCAGCTCGCACCCGACCGCCGCCGCCGGCACACCGGACTGATAAGTAGTGACCTGTTTTCACGGCGCGCTCCACGCCGGTCTGCATTCTTAGAGCCGGCCCAAGCCGAGGTGCCCTGGGCCAGATACCTTACCAGGACACAGCGACCCGTCTGGGGCCGCGGAGACCGCACGGGGTGTCGTGATTCGTCTGGGAATGAGACTAGGGGTGGGGGGAGGGGATACGAGAGGATGCGGGGTGCGAGGTGATGGCGGTGGCATGCCGGAAGGCAGAGATGGCCAAATAGCAGCGAGGTTGAGGTAAGGAGCAATGAAGCTGGACATGCGGCCAAAAATGGCTCTTCGTCGAGCGGAGGAGTGCTCTTAGCCCATGGTTTTATAAAGAGATGCACGTTACTGCAGTGAAAGATGACGGCTGATGGATGTTGGATTACTGGTGACACATGGCAGATGACAGTTGATGGATGGATGATGACATATGGTACATTAAATGTGACGGTTGGAACATGGTGGATGATTTATGCAGGATGACATGGCATACGCAGCAACGGGCAGCATTGTAAAAGATGTGTGGCAAATTATGGGTGTCTACCTTTGTGATGGGTAAATTGCATGGAGATGGGCACCGAAAGTTCGCAACCGTACTCGCGATGGAATAGCATCACGCTGTGGAGAAACCGTCCACGTGCCGGGGTCGAGCACGTTACTTCCGGAGAGTCTCGGAACCAGCGACTGTGTCCCTGGCCATTAGGTGACCTGACCCGGCCTCCTGGGCCGCCCCCGCCCCCGCCCCCGCCCCCGCCCCCGCCCCCGCCCCCGCTGTCGGCCGCATGTGGGACAGGCTAGGAGTTGGCGGAGTTCGGGCGCGAGCTTTCACGACGCAGGGCGCTGAGAGCCGAGTGGTGGTGGCAGATGACGCGACCAAGGAGAGACGGAGAGAGAGAGAGAGAGAGAGAGAGAGAGAGAGAGAGAGAGAGAGAGAGAGAGAGAGAGAGGCGAGAGCGTAGGTGTGGACGGGGCGTGGCGGATGGACGGGCCCTGTCTGTGTCACGGTCAGCCAAGCCGTCCCATCAGGCAAAGTGCCGCAGAGAGACGCAACTCACCATCTAAGGTGTCTCCAAGCAGCTGGACGACCATCGTGAAATTGTAATGGACCAACAGCAGATTAGAAACCGTTGTGAAATCCGCTAATGAACGGACTACTACCAAATCAATATTGGTAACGCCAGACGAAATATCATTAGAAAGGGAACTTTTTTCAGTAAAAATAGGCTTGATACGTTTCGCAATAACTGCAATAACGTGCTGAGGCTGGCATTTAATGCATATCGAAGATATAAAATTATAATGTAAACTATGCATGCAATTCTTGACATCCGCATGACCACTTTTGCCTGTTCGACCTCATAGTGGAATGAGTTGCAGTGCGCCAGCTTCCAGTTCCCAGAGGCGGGGCCGTCCATTCCCGTCCCACATGTCCGCCCTCGTCGCCACATCCATTCTGCGACGGGCTCTCCCAGCGCCGAATCGGCTCCCATGGCTGGCTGAAGTGAAAGCAGCGGCGGCGCGAGCGGCGGCGGTGGCCACGATGACGGCGGCGCCGTGTCAGCTGTGTCAGCTGTGTCAGCGGCTGTGCCCGGTTTCCAGACGCACACGTGACCGGCGCGCCTTTTTGCTCACCGCTCGTCTCAGCACCCCGCCAGCTTGCGCCGCGCCACGCGCATCTCAGATCGCGCGCCGGCTCTATTGGGAGCGCGGCCACTTTCGCCGCGCGCCACTCGCTGCAAGGAGCGCGCGCCGCTGCGCCGGCCGACCCAGTTTGCAGCCGCGCCGCGCTGTGCCATGCGAGCCGCGCCGGGCCGCGGTGCCGAGCGCTGCGGAACGCTCCCAGCAGCCGGTCACTGTGTCAGCGGAGGACGGCGCGCTCAGCAACACCGAGGAGCGGTCAGCGACCCTCGGCGGCGCTCCGGCGCGAACAGCGATAATTGGGAACCATCAACACGGCATTCAGGAGCGATAATAAATCTGATTAATTGAACACTTGCAGATTCCAGCGCTGTCAGACACTCCAGCCACTCCAAGCGGCGCTCTCGGTATGCTGTCGCAAGTAATAACACTTCAAGCAATGCCCAGCAGCTTCCAGCGGTGTGCAGTAGCTTTTAATTTTAGTCAGCGACTCCCGACAAGTAGTTACTCGTTAAGATGCGATTTATTTGGTTGAAGGATTTTTTTATTAGGTATTACGCACCCTATCCTAATCTTTTTGATCTCATTGAATCGTTACCGAACTCAAACGTGACAAATCCCCACACAGTTTGACTTCTCCCGGCAGTTTGGTTGTACTTCCCGTTGCCCCTCGCGCCGTTGTCTGTTCAATGACCGCGCCTGCCCACCGACGCCACAGAGGTCACGCAGAGCCGACGGGCGACCGTTCCCGGGCGTGCCGAGCGCCACGCAATGGGCCGTGGTCGGGAACAGCCGCGGGCAATCATTCTTGTCGTGCGCTTCGTGCGTTGGGTAATGCGTTTCACCGCGAGCCAATTCGATGACGTAGCCACACCCGCGGAAGTGTCACGTGCGTTGCAGAACGCTGGGAACGCGTGTCCGTGTGATGTCATTATCGAACGGTTCTATACGCGGCGGCCAGGAAGCTGGGCGCTGACTGTGCGGTGGACACAGCCAGCTTGTGTGCTTGGCGAAGGGGATGCTGTAGGAAGCACACTGAACGCTGTATTAGGATGCAGGGCAGCGGGGTGGTTACCTATTGTCCGAGCGCTGGCGACTGGCTAACAGCAGCTCACTCACCTCTGCTGTTGAGATTCCTGGCGGCGACTGATGCCACCAGTACTGCCACCAGCAGCCCTCGCGCCAGGGCAGAGTCGCTCATCCGCTCCGCCAGCCGCATGACGCCAACTGGAACACAGATCACCGTCAGCGCGGGGTGGTTTTGAATTGTCATATCGTTAGGCGGCTAATATCATGGGACAAGTAAGATAGCCAAAACCACAGTCCCACGCTTCATTGCTGATCATCAGCTTGCTCATTATGAAATTAGAGCCCAAGACCAGGGCCTTGACCTGCATTTTTCTTTTTTTGCTTTGAAAATGCTAAAGACCGACACTTTTCAGCTCTCGCCACCGCTGCGTTCCGGCCCACTGGTCTCCTTCCAACACTCACCGACTAAAATACACTGTGACCGCGCAGATTCACCATAACTAACCAATAAACTCGGTCTCTGTGACCGAATTGATCCGAGAATCACAGCGCGCGGCCTGGATGGGCGGTACCGCGCGCGCCTGGCCGCCGCAGGCCGATCGGCGCCCGGCCAGGCAGGAGCTCCCAGCGGGCTACCCGGGCCTCCCGCTGACCGGCTCGAGGACCGCCGCCGGCGCTGCCGACCGGCCGTCGAAAGTGGCGGCCGAAATCGAACAGTGACGTTGAGAACGGTGACGGTGCGGCCTGAGAGGCGTGGGAAGCGGGGTCGGTCACGGACCAGGAGGGACAGGGGGAAGGGGATGGCGGGAGGGGGACTGGTGGGCGAAATAAACGGACACAAACAGCGGAGAACATTGATAAAGCAGACGATCGGACAATTGGAACTTTTCTTTTGGGAGGCTAAGGACACGATATCATACGCGGTTTTGGATTTACCCCAAGGCCGCTAATGCCAACACACTCACACGAAAACGCCGCGAAGCGCAAACACGGCATGCGAATTTGTAAAGGCAATAAACATAGGTCCAAGACTTCAATCAAACAGTGGCCACAGGAGAGAAAGCTGCGACGAGGCGTAGAAATTCCCGGCGATTTTCAGGAACGAGGCAAGGTCTATTGACTGACCATGGTGGATTCCAGTTCACAGCTGTGATAGAAGTGGAACACAAATATACACGGGCGAATATTATTCGGTGAGAATGAAGCCAGACTGGTTCAGTCGCTACGAACACACGCCCTGTTTTGCGCCACGGCTCGTGTAAATAATTCGGATACTGAGGCATGTCAAGTGATTGGGGTTTACGATGAGAAGGCCAGGATGGGCGGCACCCAAGGAGTCACTCCCGCTGCAGCCAGCGAGACAAACAGCAAACGCAGTAACACAACCGTCAAGGCGCCTTGCAATATTGGCTGTTAAAACTGACATCTCTCATCTCGCTGCCGGAAAAATGCGGCAGGTTTGAAGAAACGATGCTCTACGATGAGGTGAAGCTTATCATAACGCAGCCGCGCTTTTGCTTGGCTACTTCCATCCACAGTCTGTTGTAAAATATTTCCTAATTAATAAATAATGGCTGAAACAAGGGTATCTTGTCAGCTACCGACAAAATCACATAATAGCTGCTAAAAGTTTACGGTGTTATCGCATATTATCTGTAATCTAGACACGCAGAAACCAGCCGACGCACGGGGACTGCAACGCAGCGTTGTGCAGTAACTGGAGACTGCAACGCAGGAAATGCAGTAACCTGGATCTGCAACGCGATGCTGCACAGGATTGAGTGGCTTCCGTACGACATGCTACGATCATTTATGTTCGAAAAATCTGCGTAGTAAAGCATGCATCAAAGAGCCGCTTATCGCAGAAGACCCGCAGAAGAGGTCATTGAATAGGTGACTTCAACGCCGGCCCGTAAACACCCTGACCGAGCGACTGCGTCGCGGCCTAGGTCGCTATCCGGGCGGCCGGCCGGGTCGGGCGCGGGGGGTCGGTGGCCTGGAGACCCTGCAACTCCTGTGATTATTCCACGTGTCCCGGGCGCGAGAGGCGCGCGCCGGCCGGTGCTGAAACAGCCGCCGTCCCTTCCGCGATCGTCCGGCGTCTGCCACTGCCCGGGGCCAGCACCAGCAGCGGGCCGGGGCCAGCTTGGGTCGAATGTTACGAAGACAAACTGTGGGTATGTTTACGGTGGATGGAGTCACCGTGGGGCGACTTAAAAAAGTAATCAAGCTTGGCTGGCAGACATACTGAACGACTAAATCACCGCCTGGAGCTGAATCGGAGATTGAAACAATAAGCTATCCCTAAACACAAGGCAGATCTTACTGAGTGCCTTAACAATGCCCGTGCTGCCGCAACTCAGTCACGTCATGGTCTTATTTTCCTGGAAGTGAGCTCAGCACAGGCTCACACGTTGTATTTCGCCTCACGGTGGTGAGCGGGGTTCCTATGTCAGAGGCTGTACGGCCGAGGCCGGCGCACTGTGTTACTGTGACACTGACCTCTTCCAGGGTTCACCGCCACTCACACATGCAGAATGCAGCCACTCGGGTTAACGGAAGAAAACCCCGCTATGCACCCAGCGAGACGGGTGTATGGTAAGCGGCTTGGAGATCGCCATCAAAACGTGGTGCAGCCGCTGCAAAGCCCGGCATTGAAAATAGAAGGGAAAGCAAGCACAGCTAGTGCGCATCGGAAGGGGTGAATTGGGTCGGAACTGGGGGTCGTATGACGCAGCTCCCGCCGCTGGGCTCCCATTGTAATTCACCTTTTGGCCGGAGCCGAGCCGTCAGCGGTCGGCGCGGCGGCCGTCCGCGGCTCCGGCCGTCCGCGGCGCCCGGTAGATAAATCTGACGTCACCGTTACCCAGCTCCCGGGCAGTGGACATGTGTTATTATCGGGCTGCTGCGCCGCGCGGCCGCTGCCGGCCCGTTCGGAACGGTACGGTCGGACCGCCACTCGTACGGTGCGGTACGGGACGACGCTGCAGACTGGACGGGACGGCACGGTACAACACTGCATGGGATGGTGCGAGATATAGGATGGGAATGCGCAAGGATAGCTGGAGGCTCCTCATGCATTGAGAGCAGTTCAAGGTCGAGCAAAACAGCTCAGAAGATTGTTCAGACCTTGACTTCGTTGAATAGGTCTGGACTGGACAGATGCGTGGGGCCATCCCTTAGATTATGCTTTCCTGAGGCAGATTTTCCTTTCCCACCACAGAGCTCCCGCAGGCCATCGGTGGACGTTGGTGCCGCTGGGCCCGGAGGACGCCGGCGCGCGTGCCGCGGTCCACCGGCGCGACCTAGAGACGGCCGCCGAGTGAGTAACTGTTACGGCACGTGGCGGCCGCGGCCGTCGTCGGGCCGACGGCACCGGGTTTCAACACCGCCGCGCCGTCACCGCGCCGGAGAGCAGGCACTGCTCGGGAGCCTGAGAGGGAGACGCGGAGACGGAAATCCGGGCCGGGCCGGCCGATCGGCGGCCGGCCGACCCCATTCCCGGCCGGCGCCGCCCCTCGGAGCGCCTAATGAGCCCGCCGTGACGTCACCGGCCGCCGAGGGGAGCTGCTGTGCTGCTGGGCGCGCTCACGTGCGGCCGCCGGATAATTGGTTGGATAATAGGGGCGCCGGTATGCGGGAGCAGTAGCTGATGCTGTAGCTCCAACAGCAGGTGCGCGAGGAAGCGAATAAAAGAGCGACTCGGGGAACTAAAGGAAGGAGTTTAAAGAACAGCGTGAGGTGGAAGAAAAACAAAAAGCGGGGAGGGCACTTGCAGATACGATCGGTGTGGAAAAACAAGAGAAAAGAGAAAAGGACGGATGCCAGAGATGGCCGTTCCGCACCGCTCGCCAGCGACTGGTCTACCCTCACCACCGCGTCTGGCAGGCGGCGGCCCACCACTGGCTTTCCTTTTTCGCCCCTTTCGCTGTTCACCATGGCAGTGACCCACGCATTACGTGTCACGCGCCGTCTCCCTGTCGAGGTCGGGGTCACGTGCCGGCGGCGGTGGGCGCCAGTTCACCGCCGGGTCCGACCGCGGCCACCGCCGGGTCCGACCGCGGTCCCCTGAGGTCGACACCGACACGGTGCCGGTTTCACTTCCCGCAGAGAAAAGGCGGCAGCGAGAGGCGAGCGCGCGACCAGCTTCCTGAGCAGGTCAGGAGAGCGGCTCAGGAAAGTGGCGACTGCGCGACCCCTGACCGCAGTTCGTAACACCGCGGATCGGATGTGGGCACCAGCCGAACGGTGAAAGGACGAGAGTGCGTCCGGCGTGCGCCGACCCGCACATTTGGCTCATAAAAACATATGGTATGCGAATTTCTCGGCTGTTTTCTCACCAGGAGAATGGAACAGCTGCAACAATGTATCCTTTTGTGCCGGACGTCATCACAATTCCGTGAAAGTTGGCGACAACTCTCAATTGTCGGGGCGGCGTGGTATCCTGTGAGCGATAAATCGATGTGAAATTCGGCGGCGGCGTGTTCGCTAGGTCTCCGAGCACGGCACAGGTGTGTGCGTCACGATCCGACTGACCGTGCTCGTCGCTCGTGGCGCGGCACCCCGCGGGACACTCCGCCGGACAATGCTGGGAGCCGGCCACGGCGCGAGGAGAGCCGGGGAGAAGCCACGAAATGCGGCCACCGATCAGTCGTGTCATCCCTGCTGCATACCTATATGTAGGAGTGATATGGGATCGCAATAGCGCCAAAAGCCTACTATGGACGTCAAACCCCTTGAGACCCCACTTTTTTGCGATAATTTTTAAATGCGTGAACTCTCGCTGACGATATTCTGGCAATGTGTGTTTCAGAACCTGCCGAAACTTTTATTACTAAGGTATTTTGACGCCAAACGATTATGAAAGGTACTTCTCATTCACTCGTAATGCTAAGGTCAATTCAGGCCCGGGCAGAGGCTTGCGTTCGGCCATACTCGATCCCCGCCACCAGCGCCATCTGCTCTTAATGTCATCTACCAGCGCCCGCTACCGCTACCAGCTACCGCCCAGCATCAAGCCTGAATGGAGCGCGAGACGCGAGTGACCGGTCGCCGGGCAAGGAGCGCCGGAGGGGTAGGGCGGAGCTTAGCGCTGACGTCATTACGTGGCTCCGCCCCATGAGTGCGTAGCCTCTACCCAAACAGCAGATTCTTTCCGTGGAATTTAACATTACGAGTGAACGAGAAGTACCTTTCATAATCGTTTGGCGTCAAAATACCTTAGTAATAAAAGTTTCGGCAGGTTCTGAAACATACATTACCAGAATATCGTCAACGAGAGTTGACGCATTAAAAAATAATCGCAAAAAAGTGGGGTCTCAAGGGGTTTGACGTCCATAGTAGGAATGCCGCGAATCAGGAGAAACACGAATGAGGGTTGATTCGACGCATGCTATTTTGTGGGATATAGTCTGTTTTCCTCGTTTTGTTAACAAAACTTGCCTTGCTTTTAAACGTTTTTACACGCACAGTAACTTTTAAATCGAATAACCTTTTATGCCTACAATCTGCATGCCATAAATTTGTGTCTGCTGCTTTCCTGACATGCCTGAATTCAGCGCCAATAAAAGAATGGTGCAACCAAAATCACTTGGAAACATGCAAAAAGGCTTTTCATGCCATGGTCCTTACCTATCGCAATAGGGGATGAATATTGGTTTATTTGGAAACCTACCTGTCAACCAGGTCACGGCGCGAGTGACGCACCTGTTGCCGACTCCGGCTCTCCCATGAGCGGAGCCGCCTCGCGAGAGGGGTCTCCGCTTCACTGCACATCGGAGGCAGCCGGCGATGATGCCGTCTGATATCAGAAAGGCACCATAACGGTCAGGAGAGCCGCGCAGTCAGGGCTTGCCCGCTGATGAAACGGTTTTGGGCTAATGATTAAATCATCTACGCATTATGATGATGAAAGAACGTCGTCTTTTGTTAAAGTTTTCCGCACTTGACAAGCCCTCAGTGGTATAGCAGAAACCGTGTACGCGCGGCTGTCACTCACAGGATTGTTGGAATGTAAACGAACGGAAAATGACGCTGGAAGGCCGAAAACTGGACGGACACGCGCCGTAGCGGGGTTCGGGACCTGTCCAGCCGTGCCGGTATAACCGGAAGGACCGGGCGGCAGTGCGTCGGCCTGTCGCCGCTGGCGTGACGAACCACTGCGCTTGACCCCCGCTGATATCTTTCCAGAGTTTCCCACCACTGATGCCCGCCGATCGTGATCTAACCCGCTGGCGGCCGGTGTATGTGTCCTGGCGATATAATCACGGACAGGTTCCCACCAGGACGTCAAATACAGGCCAGCAGGCCAGGGAGGTAGCGGCGCCGGCCCGGTTGGCCTTGACCCGCGACCGCGTCACATGGCTAACGGACGCCGGGCGGCGGAACGGTGCGAGCGCCGTCGGCCGACCGATCGGCTCGTCACCTACCTGGCAGGCGGCGTGTGGGTGCAGGACGCCGCTGTCTGTCAGCGCCGCCCTCGCTCGGGGCGGTGCAGGATGCTCCTGGGGGTCGGCCGACACCGGTGACCCGGTGACCTGGAGTCGCGCGCCGCTGAGTCTGTCGTCACCGCGGTGGAGTCACACGAGCGAGTCACACTGCGCGCCGGCGGTGTCCAGCTGCACTGGTCGACGGTGTCTGGCTGCACTCCGCGGCCTCGCGAGCTCTCGAGCCGGACTCGCGCGCGGGTGACCGGGCTGGGCGGCGGCGGACGGGCGACTGGCGGGCCGCCGCCGCCGCCGCCGCCAGATGAAAAGTAGGTTGGCTGGAGGGCCGGCGGCGGTGAGTCGGCCCGAGAGCCGCGCCCGCGCCCGTGCCGGTACGGCGGCGGCTCCGGCGCGGCACCGGGCACCTCCGTCCACTGCTGCTCCTCACCCGCACACCGGCAAGGTCAGGTCATGATCATCACCGGTCAACGCAATGAGTCCCAAAGGGCCAGGGGACAATGCGGCGGGCTGACCGTTTATTCATTGCGAATTAATAAAGCGACATTTCCAGCTTCATAAACGTTTATGATGGACTGATTTATCAAAATGGAGATATCCAATAATGTTAAGATTTTTGCATACAAGCTTATTTCTGGTACAGAACAAGGGAAACATCATCATTATTTGTTCAGAGGGTGGGACTTCCGGGTAGATAGGTAATTTCCCAGGAATTAGTATTATTTCATTCAGTCATGCCGCGATGCATAAGCGAAATAAATAGACACCTTGGTAGGCTGAATGACCTTATACCAGGTAAGCAACGAGATCCATGTCATGGCCCTGGACACTCCGATTCTCTTGTTTTTGTGTCCTTACTTACGGTTCCATTGTCTTCCTATTTGCATCGATCATTAGCAGTGGTTCTTTTTTATTACAACATTAGGAAATAAAACCATGACTTAAAATGTTTACCGTACTTTTAAACGTTATGAAGGCATATCTAGTTACAGCTTCGGCCTATCGTTCTTCGGATGCACTGGCGGCCACCTAGCCCACAGTGGACAGCCAGGGGACGTGACACCTGTGAGACCCAATTATTTGAACATTGCGTCTGGTGGTGCCAGTTTCAGAAAATGTACATGTCCAATGTCCGTTATTTCCGTCGAATGTCCGTCCAGTAATGTCCAAGTCAGCCGTTTGTTCAAAGATGTCCGAAAGCCGCACAATAACTTACACCCAAAGCTGTTGTATAATTTGCTGTTCTGCTAGCAGCCAAGTGTTGATCTGTCATAATCATATCGAGAGTTGAGCTTTCTATTCGCCTATCAATGCTACAGCCTACACGATTACTTAATAACAAATGCTGAAATGCAGCAAGTGATTGTCGAATGTTGTCTAAAGCCTGCTGGCTTTGCCAAGCCGAATTATATAGTAATTCGTATTCGTTTCGGGCTACACTGAGGTAAACAAATTGTTAAAAACCAAATATTTCGGCTTTACTGAGTAACCTTGTTCACTGGTTTGAAATATGACTGCCGACTGGTCATTATAAGTAGCCTTGGTCATTCAGTGGTTATTACATACCTATTTCAAACCAGTGAACAAGGCTACTCAATAAAGCCGAAAGATTTGGTTTTTAACAATTTTTTAACCTCAGTGTAGCCCAAAACGAACACGAATTACTATCATTTACCTGAGGAAGATTAGAAATGACACTTCGTTAAAACCGAATTAGACATTGGGCAACATCGGTATACCGAAGGTTCCGATTGGCACCACTTATTGCGTCTATGGCAGTGCATGTGGTCAGAAACGAATGCCATTTGCCCTGGTATTCGGCAATTGCCATTCGGCAATTGTCCTGCAGGCCTGCACTCCTGCCCCCTCCCCAACCTTCAGCCCAGATGAATCCACTGGTGACCGAGTAGGTAGGTACTTTTAACATCGGTGAAATGTTTTAGAGCAGGCAACAGCAGGTGAGTGATATGGATGTTAAATGATTTCTAGGTCATTCTTTTCCAGTGGTGGGCGGGCACTTCGATAACTCCCATCACGATTATCGAATTCGTTATCGACGATAGCGTTTTTTTCAAGTTTATCGTTATTGATTATCATTATCGAAGTAGCGTTATCGAAGTCCCCGTTTCGGTCAATCGATAACGATAAGTGATAACTTCATCAAATAGACGCGAGCGTATTAAAGGGAATAGTTCACCTTTAACATGGGGTTTTGAATTGAGATAGCATTTTTGTGGATTATGCACTGAAAAATGCTATTTGGAATGTGATTTGGCCCAACAAGCTCTGTCACCAAAGATATTATTCAAGTTTTCGTTTCATGTTTGTACGTTTGTCTGTTTGCTTGCGCGAGAAAAATAACGTTTTCACTGTTCTAAGCCCTCCTTTTTGTATAAGCAGCTAGGTAATACTGGTGTTATATGAGTGAATGTGTTAAATATTAATTAAAAGCTTCTTCCTTTCAAATATTTTATCCTTTCGATTTATTTCTTTTTTTTTTAAGTTATCGTTATCGTTATCGCGTTATCGAAGTGACCGATTTGGTTATCGAGCTATCGTTATCGAAGTCGCTGACCTCGAAAGAGGTTATCGAATTATCGTTATCAAAGTCCCGGTCAAGTTACGAGTGCCCACCACTGTTCTTTCTCTAGTCTACGACAATCATTTCCGGAATCATGCGCGAACAGTCCAATGGGCTCGCGAATATTCATCCGGTAATTCCATTATATCGTGCAAGGCATGAAGGGTTGAGCCACATGCACCGGACAGCCACCCAGTTCTGAGCTCAACCTTAACGTTGACATACGAAGAAAGCCCCAACATCACGTGAAAGTGTCTTATCTCGCACGGGATTCGGGGGTTTGTCTGCGAACCGTGACTCCATTGTAGCCGGTGCACGTGTGCGGCTGGGAACTGGCTAAATGGCTCATCCGACGCGGCTGGCTGAGCCAAGGCCGGAGCTCGGCTCGCGTGCCGGGGGCCATCAGCGACCATCTGACCGGCGGCTCACGCGGTGACACCGACGGACGCCCAGGTAATCTGGGTCATCTGGGCACCGCGTCCTATAGGAAGCGGAAGGGTCGCAATGTCGGCAAACACATACGCATAACGGGTGTGACATTGGGAATCAGCGTAAACGGGTCTAATCTGCGTGATCTATTTGTCAACAGGCAATGATCGTTAGATATGTGATGATGCACAACAATGTATAGGGGAAGCCGGGGGAAGCCCGGCATAGTAAGCTCTTTTTCATTTTTATTACATACCATACATGCTGTATAAAATGTTGATATCCTGCTAGCTACCTAAGTTCATTGGCCGTGTTTTCCCAAAAATTCGGTTTTGTGGAATAAGTATAAGGTTGAGAAAATCGAGTTTTAAAAAAGTGTTGATTTTTCTGGGGTAAGCCCGGCATAGGGGTAACGCCGGCCACTTCCCCAGCGCTTTACAACAAGTTGATGAAACCATTATGTGTTTTCCAAATATTAACGGAAAGTGAAATATTAAGGTACTGATTAGCTCTGGACATCTTAGAGTTTATGTCACTACTGGCATTTTAGCTAGCGTCTACTACATATACAATACAGGTCGATGAAAATCGTGATGCGAAATTGACAAAAAATGTGTATTTTAAAATTCTTTAAAATGTATTTTTCTTTTTACCTTAATGCATCATATTGCATGTCATTCGACTCGGCTGATGAAGAAGAACACAACGACTCCATTTTTGAAGCTCTAGCTTCATTGTCTGTCGCGTTATCTGCAAAAACATAGTTTGACCCTAGTTGACCTTAAGTGACATGACTGGCTTTGTCTATGATAACATGTTTATTTTCGAAATTTATCTTTGATCTAGGTGTAAACCAAACCTGCTCAGTACCTATTATCTCATGGAAAACAGTGGTTTAGTGGCATTGCTCTCGGTTGGGGGTAAGCTTGGCCACTCGCCCGGGGTTACCCCAATGTGCTAATTTTTATTTTAGAACAGCGATATTCGAAAAAAATGTCATACTTAAGCCAGCCTGCCTCGTCACCCCTCACTACAAACACTTAAACTGTCCTTACATAACATTCGTATAAATATTAGTACTGTATGGTATAACATTAACAGTGCAAGATATCTCACTTTTTAGCTAAAAACCATTAAAATATCATTTTTGCGCTATAACTTTAACAATATGCAATTTTTGTCAGCCTTAACTTTTTTGCTGTCGTTACCTTAGCTGCCACGCTGAAAGGACAAACAGTTGAGCATTTTATTGTGAATAATTTAGCCGGAAACGGGGTGGCCGGGCTTCCCCCGCGCCCGGGCTTCCCCCGGCTTCCCCTAACCTCGCTTTAAGGTACAACATCGGGAGTTTGGAAACATCTTCACATTGGCATGATTCGTACCAGTACCGCTGATACAGCAATGCAGACGTGACTGTAATGCACGCTACAAGCGTTGCTTTGTTCTTGTTTATTGCTAGATTGATTAGGCGTTATAAAAAGTAAACTAGAAAGCAACAGCTAGGGGAGAGCGGGGCAATGGCGGACAGTGGGTAATGCCGGCCACCCATCTCTTGTGAGTACTTTGTCCATCACTAATCAGCTGATGTTGTTTACATTTCAGTTGAGCGCCATTCTAGCACGTGGTGCAAGTTTGTCACGGTAGCTCCATTATTTTCATTTTTATAGCGTTAAATGTGTTTTTCGTATCTGATTTTTAATTTTTGTTGCATCTATTTGCTGACTGTGAAATGTGTTAACGCATTTTCAGAAGTGCTGCTTTGCAATGACCTTCAATTAAGCCTTTCTTAGGCGACTGCTGGATGTGAGGGGTTTGCGACACAATGCCTTTGACTGCTGCCTGCTTTCTTAAAATAAAGCTGACCTCGGGGTAATACCGGACACGTGTCCGGAATGACCCCACGCGGTTTTGTTTGCGACTTCTGTCGTTAAAGCTCAACGTTTCGGGTTGCTGTGTTTACGGCTGTGTTAGTTTGCTTGCTGTTTACGGTTGTGTTAGTTTGCTGCTCTGTTGGCGCCGCGCTGTTGTGTTGCAGCGAGTGCAGTGTTGTGTTGCAGTGCAATGCACTGTTAACTGCTGAGTACAGTTGTCGTTTCTTAATTCTCACTTAAATTTCCATCGAAAGAACGGTTTGAGGATGAATACCAGTGACGATATTTCGACTTTTTGTGCTATTGCACTTAGTGGCCGGCATTACCCCTCGCTTTTTTGCACCTCCATTTTTCACCACATTTTCGCGTAGGCTCTGAATCTGTCATCAGTGATCTGAGATACTAAAACTGGGTGTTATCTGAAAGCCTATTCCTTTGGCTACAACCACAGTCAAAATCACCATAAAATAGCTTCAAACAGCTAAGCTATTGAGCAAAATGCTTATGGTGTCGCCATTGCCCCACTCTCCCCTACAGGGACAGCGGTATTTTATGCATTGGTATTATCGACTACCACTTCCATGCATTACAAAACGGCCAATGAGGAATTGCAGATGTCTCAGCTGTCTCACCAAACCGACGCATCGAACTGAAATCCGACCCGGCGTCAGACGTCGCCGAGTCCTCTCCCCCCGCCCCCCCCCCCCCCCCAGCATCGAGCTCAGCCGCGAGCAGTCGACAGAGACTCACTCCAGCCGGCCGGGGTGACATCGGATACACCACCGCAGATCCCGACACGCGAGTCGACCAGACTATGTCCTTTGCAGTCACACCGTGCGACAGTGTTGGAAGTGGTGCCTCAATACTGATAGGTACCACTATTGATGCAAAACTGGGAATTCCCTCTGGGGATGATCGGTCGCAGCCACCTTTCTCTCTCTCTCTCTCTCTCTCTCTCTCTCTCTCTCTCTCTCTCTCTCTCTCTCTCTCTCTCTCTCTCTCTCTCTCTCTCTCTCTCTCTCTCTCTCTCTCTCTCTCTCTCTCTCTCTCTCTCTCTCTCTCTCTCTCTCTCTCTCTCTCTCTCTCTCTCTCTCTCTCTCTCTCTCTCTCTCTCTCTCTCTCTCTCCTCTCTCTCTCTCTCTCTCTCTCTCTCTCTCTCTCTCTCTCTCTCTCTCTCTCTCTCTCTCTCTCTCTCTCTCTCTCTCTCTCTCTCTCTCTCTCTCTCTCTCTCTCTCTCTCTCTCTCTCTCTCTCTCTCTCTCCTCTCTCTCTCTCTCTCTCTCTCTCTCTCTCTCTCTCTCTCTCTCTCTCTCTCTCTCTCTCTCTCTCTCTCTCTCTCTCTCTCTCTCTCTCTCTCTCTCTCTCTCTCTCTCTCTCTCTCTCTCTCTCTCTCTCTCTCTCTCTCTCTCTCTCTCTCTCTCTCTCTCCTCTCTCTCTCTCTCTCTCTCTCTCTCTCTCTCTCTCTCTCTCTCTCTCTCTCTCTCTCTCTCTCTCTCTCTCTCTCTCTCTCTCTCTCTCTCTCTCTCTCTCTCTCTCTCTCTCTCTCTCTCTCCATAACCACATGCAGCCGGCACTGTCCAGAGGGTTCGGCCGTTTTCCGGCGACACGTTCTTAACCAGACACCAGGCTCCCGTCTGACAGCGCCGGGCGGTGAGTCACCGACCGTGTTGAAACCGCCGCCGCTGCTCACTGCGACGCTTACCCGGTAAGATCCGCCTCTCACCGCTAAAACAGTTGGCTAACCGCCGTCCCGTCGACGCTTGCCTCAGATCCGGTGACCGTACACGATTTGTTGCGCATTGCAGACCGGACGATCGGAAATGTTATCACAGGTCATGGTCACTTGTCAGATACAAGTGGCAGGTAGGGGAAGGCGCTTAACTAGCGACCCCTACTCGTTCGCGACCAGTACCTACCTACCACCCACCACCTAAGCACGTATGTACAGTGAAAAACAGTCGGTAAAAGAAAATTGGGCGGTCAGTTTCGGAAAGACTGCCATACGTCGGCTACCATATTCATACGGTTCCGGTTTGTTCGTGCTTCCGGTCGGACGCATTAGGCAAGGCATTAGGTGAGTTAAACAACAATACCTATTTTACGCAAAATATGTGTGCTGGCATCCTATTTTGTAAAAGTCGATGCATATAGCCATAACTTACCTTGCTATTATGATTCATCGCTTTTTTCAACAGATTGTTGTTTTCCCGCCGTGAATCTGTGCATCGTGCCTCGCCCTCGGCCCTCGTCCTGCAGGGTGCAATTTGGAAATGTGTAGCCACTCGCACTGACTATTTCATATTTATTTTCTCCCTTCATCCCCTACTGTTGTCGACGGCAACTGGCAAGTAACTTACTCAGACAAGTCCAGCAAGGAACAAGTGGTTCGTGGTCGCAACTTACACTTGTGTCCACTGTCCAATGAAGGTGGTACCTATTTATTTGTCTGAAAAGTAGTACTCTGACTCAGTTCAGTTTTCGTACCATCGTGCCAGACCACAAGCCAAGGACGCTAGGTTCTAGTTTGCATTGCCGTCTCTGAGCACTGAAAATCCAGCCAGTGGCAGTTTTGGTGGCCATCGTGTTTGGGCCATCGTGATTGCAGTCGTCCCTTGAAAGTGACTGTCATTGGTGGTGTCAAAGTTCGATATCATTGATTGACGTATGGTGCAGATGTCCGTTGCCGAGGTCTCGCAGCCCTTCCGTGACACCTCTCCTCACATTGACCGGAGAGCCGTCCTGAGGTCGTCCTCGCCCCTCCACCCCATCCCCGTCAGTCTCGTTTGATGTCCATCTACCACGCACCCGCTGTCGTCACCAGCAGCGCCCCAAACGGACAGCTCATCAATATACGCCAGTCAGAGGGTTACCGCACCGGGCGGAGGGGTCAGTGGCCAGCGGGAGCCTCGTGATGACCGCAGCCGTCCCCGACAGGGTCGGCGCGGGCGAGCTGACACTGGCGGCTGCGACACTGCGACAGCTCTGGGGCGCTGAGAGGAGCTGCGGCGGGCGCAGAGCTGTTGAGGATTGAAGACGGTCATGTCTTCGAGCGGAAACACCAAACGGGTGAGTACCGCTAGAAAGTGCGACGACCAGTGTGAAATCTGGCGACCTCACAAAGTAAGGCCGCTGCTGTATGCGCGCCGCTCTCCAGCCCAGCCGGCGGCCGTGTGTTGAATATAAGCAGCGTCTGACGCCACTGGGACGTCAGTCACGTGGCCCAGCTCCTCTCCACTCGGAGTTCATTCACCCGCACTCCGCGGACGGCAGCGCGGTATGCGTGCAGGCACTGGATGCCCAGAATGCAAGCAGTAATTCAGGGAGGAGGCACAATCTTTTCATGAATGACCCTCATTACCAATCGACTTCAAAAACGACAGCAGGGCAAAAGAGGCGCGTTCGGTAATGCTTTTAACAACTTAACTGGAAGCTAGTGCTTAGTTTCATCGTATTAGTGACAAGTTTTGTTAAACCTTAACTGCAAATCTTCACTGTCAGCAGCATATATTAAAGCAGTGGAGCGACTTGAACTTAATCACATTCAGCGGCCAGTAAAGTGGTCCGTTTCTTTGGTAACTTTGGAACGGTAGTCACGTTTCAGAAAGGAAAGGCACAGGGCGTGATATCATCGGACAGCATTAACAACAGGACAGCATTCACAAGTACGGCTTTGTCAAAGTAAAAATTATAAATACATCACTGGGACTCAAATTCAGCTGCAGATGAACGTCACTGAAATTCCAGGTTGTATTCGTAACTGGCACATCGTACTAAAAACACAATAAGTGGTGAGAAATTCAATATTTTAAACGCTTTTCACGACAAGTGTTTCAAGCGCTTAACAACTTGTACAAGTTACAAGAGCATTACGCCAGTGGTTCGCCTGCATTGCACCTCGGCATATCAACAATGCATTAAAAGAACAACAAATCATACCATACGTTCCACACCGCACAAGTGTCAGTTCTGCACACAGCCGCACACATTCTGAGTCACGCCATGCCATAAGGCCTACCCCGTTTGGCGCGATCCCTGAGCATTAGGTGCCTATCACTCGCCCTCCGAGGAACCGGGGGACCGCCGCGAGCGGCCGCCACCCGACGCGGGGGACTCGGCAGCCTTCAGCTCCCTCCGCCGCTGCATGGAGCGCAGCGCCCTCTCCCGCAGCTTCTTCTCCAGGGCCTCCATGTCCATCTCCTCCTCGTCCTCCTCCTCCGAGGAGGAGCTCTGCTTGGAGTCCTCCCTCGGCGAGAGGCGATCCTCGCTGCGCCCGGCGGGACTCACAGAGGCCCGCCGGGCTCCCTTGGCGCCCTCCCCGTTCGGACGTCCCTCACCCCGCCTGTCGGGACTGCCTGAGGCCGAGCCACCGTCGCGGAGCTCGGGAGAAGTACCAGCCTCGTCCTCACTGTCCGAGCTCCGACCCTCGCCATGTGAGCTGGCGCCATCTGAGCTGTCTGCGACAAGTGTCTCCCTAACGACAATGTCGTCACGCCACAGGGGAGGCTCGCCACTGTCCGCACCGTCACCGGCACCGGCGTCCACATCAGCGACGGCGTCCTTTTTCACTTTGGGACCGTTGTCTTTACTCAAGCTGCCGCTGCGCTTGCGTGACTTGTGCTTCTTCTGTTTCTTGCCTTCCTTCTTTTTCTTCTTCTTTTTCTTGTTTTTCTTTTTGTCGCCGTCCAATTCCTGCAGACACAGGTGGTAAGAAACAATAAGTGGAATGATCACGCTTGTACTAATGAGATAACGCGAGGGAGGATTATAACGGAACACTGAGTAAAGGACCCTATTAACGGGAACGAGTCACAAACCTGCAAGCGTTCGGATAAATGGAGGTGGCGTCACGTTGCGTTAACAAGCGCACTTTACTCAGCCCTCAGCACAAACAATTAAATGCTCCATTGTTTATGGTGAGGCTTACTACGCTACATAAATTTCAAGACATAAATGGAAAAATAACGGATAAACAAGTCAAGCGTATCTGGCATCACATGATCGCCAGATACACCTGTTGGCTATTTTCGAAGTCGACATGGCGCCTACTGCCTCCCACACAGTCGTAGCCACATTCCCGCCGTACTCACCGCCTCCCCGTTGGCGGTCCGCCGTTTCTTAGCTTTGGATCGGCTCTTTCGGACCTCTGCGGTGTCCTGATGGCTGCTCTTCTTTACCCCCTCCGGCGGGCTAACGGAGCGCTCAGACGGGGAGCGGCGCCGCTTCCCGGCCCGCCGCTCCCGGCTCGAGCTGCGCCGCCTCGGGGACCGGCTGGGGACATAGTCGTCAGAGTCAGCCTAGGGGAATGACGGCATACCACGGCGTGCAAACGGCTCGAGACAGCTATCACATAATTATATGAGCGGGACTGTTGACTTTTGTAATTACGAAGGTAGTTAACAAGCGCTATGATTTTCTGCCACCTCATTGGGTTTTAGAGCATCTTAAATCGACCGCCGTGGGCGATTTAATTAAAAAACTTTTAGAGTGAAAGCAAGGAGTAATCGCAATGTAGCCAACTAAACATGCCGCACGCGCAGCAGGTCAGGAAAACTGATTCTCCGTGGACCCGGTAGCAACCACACTCCCCAACATACCGCGGTTGTGGAGATTTCCGTCCCGAGGAGGACAGTTTGCGGCGGCTCCGTTTCCCCTGTGACCGGGAGCGACTCCGCTTCTTGGCTGAGCGGGAGCGGCTGCGTCTCTCCAGCGAACGGGAGCGGCTCCAGCTTCGTCGTCTGTCACCGGAGCGGGACCGGTCCCTCCGGACGTCGCCGGACCGGCTGCGGTTCCGGCGGCTGCGCGAGCCGGCCTGCAGAACAGAGCTATCAGACGGCGGACGTTTACAACAGCCTCTACACAAATGCTCTACGTGGTCTTTCCTACCCACAATTCATAGATGCATATACAAATACTGCCAACAGACTTTCTATGCAGGGATGCGGAACCGTGGAAATTTCAGACGGTTCCGGCTCCGGCTCCGGAGAAAAAAAATCTGCTCCGGCTCCGGGTGGAATGCCATGGCGGCTCCGGCTCCGAGTAAAATGGTCCGGCTCCGGCGGCACCGGCTCCGGCTCCAATACTCAGTACATCCCCTATGCAATTAAATACGGGTGGAAGAAAAAGATGATGGGATTGGTGCATGCTGCTTCTGTATTTGCAAACAAGGCTATTTTCATATTTTGAATACCGCATGTTTTACTGCCTTGAACTGTCAAACCGAACTAGGTCAATATTTTTTTTTTCTGTTTAAAAAAGGAGCCGGAGTCGCCCCCTTTTTTGACGGCTCCGGCTCCAGCTCCGGGCTATATTGTTTCACGGCTCCGGCTCCGGGCAAAATATGCCGGCTCCGGCTCCGCATCCCTGATTCTGTGAATAGCGGCATATCTTGAGGGCTCAAGGCTCAGCTCTCAGATGCTCCTTGCAGACGCCCACCCCTAGGCAGCGTGCGCTTCTACCCACCTTCCTCTCTCCGTCATGCGAGTCTCGTCCACGGGAGCGGCGGCGGCGCTTGTCATGTGACCGCTCTGACCGATTACTGGCCTCCACATCGTCCGGAGTCCGCTCCCTATCCGCTGCGCCCCGCTCCGGGCGCCGGCTGCGCTCCGTGACAGGGTCTCGGCGCCCTCTGTGGCCGTCAGTTGAAGACTGGTTCCGTGCCGAGTCGGAGGCAGACGGGTCTCTCCTAGAAGAACCAAGTGTTGTAAGACAGGGTCAAGCTGGCAGATACACCTGAATGAAAAGGGAATCAACATACGCAAGGTAAACATCATACTTTGAGCATTTACTGAACAAGAAAATGACCACGGACTTGGGACGTTCTTTCAGCAATCAGCAACACAAGGCAGAATGCCACTGAGCAATTTACCGACGCCGCGGGCCGCTAACGCATCAGAGGGCAGCACTCATAGGCGGCGGAACGGGACGGCACCGGGGCACCGGGCCCCCCTTTGATTTTGGCATTTTAACATTAGCCCCATGGGCGTTGCATGGAAAGAATAGGACCAAAAGTCGGCAGTGCCCTCCCCCTTAATTGAAGATATTCCGCCGCTACTGGCAGCACTGGCCGGCCGTCCCCCTCACCTGAGTCCGTCGCCGCCGGGACCGGGTGCCGGCGAGGCCCGGTGACGCGACCTGCGCTCCTCCGTGACCGGCGACGGCTGGCGGACGGCACAGCTCAGCTGGTGCTCCACCCGCTGCCGCTCCGCCTCCAGCTGGCGACCGATCAGCAGCTCCTGACGCGCCTGCTCTTCCTGTTACGGAGCGAGGGAAGGTGGTGAAATGGGGAACAGGAGGCAACCGATCAACAGCCCCTGACGTGTCTGCTCCTCCTGAGAGGGACAGTATTTCAAGGCTCTGTACGTCATGATCCCGTGCATTTTGTCGATGCACACCTAGCATATACCAGAGAAAATATTAACTTGATATACTAAAAAAATGGCTACCACCTCCTTGCTTCGATGTTGCACTGGAAAAGCTTTGCCTCCATGGAGCAAGTTGTTGTCGAGAGTAGAGTAACTTACATTTCTCTTTTTGATTTCCTCCTTTTTCTCCTCGATGAAGCTGTCTGGGATGCCATTTGGGTTGGCGGAGGCCGAGCAGAGCAGGTCCCACAGCTCCTGCATGAACACTCTGGCGTTCTTGCCGTTCAGGAAACCGGTCAGGTTGATCTGCATCTTCCGCGGGTTTAGATTCTGGAACGGGAAACGGTTAGTTATCTCCCTATTCGCCGAGTTTTATTTATCCCTGGTCTTACATTTCATACATTTGTCGACCAACAACAACGTACAGCGTCGCGATGTAAGATTAGTTTAAACGATGAATCATGAGACGTTGAACACTACCGGTCTCCAAAGGTACGATCGTGTGTCTCGCGCGCGGGGCGACCTGGGCCTGCACACACCGCGTCAGATGTGTGATGCGCAGACCGCTATCATTGCGCATAGAATCCGTGCCCTGGGGGAGCCCGAGGAGCTCGCCTCACTGTTTGACTTTCGCCGACGCACGGCAGTGTAACCGCCCCACTAGACAAGACCGTGACTTGCGCCCGCCAGCTACAAGAACAGCGGTCGGGCGGCGAGGGTTTGCGTACCGAGCAGCCTCGCTTTTAAACTCTGTCCAGTGACGTGACACGGCTCGAGCCAGCGGCTTTTAAACCGGCAGCGAAACGTTTCTTTTATTTGGAGTGATTGTGCGTACGTGTGTGTGCTGTTTCGGCCGATGATTGTTGTTTGCCGTGTACCTTTCGACTTCCCCAACCGTTTTATTCACTGACAATTGACACGTAATAGCCACCGTGTTGTGGAGTGTCTGCAGACGTAAATACATACATAAATACAATACTGTACAAGAAATTAGAAAATGACCATAGACTTGAGATGTTCCTTCAGCAATCAGAAACACACGATAGAATGCCACTTTGACAATGAGAAACATTTGGAAATGCATGGAAAACGAACGATGACAGAACAAAAACAAGGTCAGAGGTCTAATGTATCCTTCCAGTGATCAGCAGCCTGACACTGGTCAGCATCAGTGTGTCCCACCTTCTCCTCTAGCTGGTTGAAGACGAACTCGATCAGAACCTCGTCCTCGGCGCCCAGCATCTCTGTGACGCGCCGAGTGATCCAAGGCTTGATCACATCCAGCTTCACACGGGGCATGTCCACCTGTGGGCCGCCACAGTGTCAGTTGTCTCAGGCCCCATGTCAACCTGTCCTGGTGTTGATACTCACAGACATCAGTCAGACATCCCCAGTGTGCAGTTTTGAGTGCTTTGGTTGGTGGTACAGATAACCAATGTAAAAATGTGCAAGCTATCCTGTTACACACTATCATGTAATAAAATTCAAATGGTGCAACATTGTTAATGGACTAAGGCACTTTCGTTCTTTTTATGACCCCATCTTCTAATTATGGCCCCATATGCCTGCTTCTGCAATTGAACAAGTTACATAATAGGTACCCATTGTGGTTAAAGATTGATCAATGTTGCTACAACATGAGGCAGTAAATACTTTTTAAAGTAGCATACAGCAGGATTATTTCTGGCCATGAATACAAAGGAGAACAAAAGCTTACTTTCTTAACCAGGCTGTCAGCAAACTTCATTTGTTTCATCATCTTCTTTTCTTTGTCACTGAAGCGGCTGTCCTGGGCAGCAGAGGTGCCCTGCAGGATAAAGAAACAGTAATTATTGTTGACGCAACTCAATGTCAAGATTGACAAGATTGAGATAGCTAGCCTGCCCATAATCCTAGCTCAATCACTTTGTCAAATAATGAACACAACAAAATATTTCATTAATGATTTAGGGTAGGGAGACGAAAACAGATGACAACTTCTGTCTATAAATACGTGGGGTCTTTAGCTCCTTGCCCTGTCTTCATTTAAGGTTGTTTTGTTGTATTTATTATGGGTATTTATTATTTGTTGCAATAATGTTTCCACACAACCTTCCACCCAACAAATCATTCAACTTTCACTTAACTTGGTAAACAGTTTTTTTGAATAGGTATGCCTCCTCAAAGCTTCATAAAAGCTGAAATGTTGTAACTTGCAATAATGATGTTCCGAAATCCAAAAAAGAAAATATTTTGAGCATCAAGTACCTAACCAAGTTTCATTAAAAAAGTTAAACCAAGAAATTTAAACAGGCATGTATTCCGAAGGTATGCCACAAGCTATGCATCAAACTGAGCCGACATGATATTTTTTAGGATCCACCTCCCGGCTTGGGGCTCCCACTTGCACTGTGAACAAATGTAACTGGAGCTGCTAAAGGAGTTTTTAACGTATGTATGTATGTATGTATGTATTGACGATCAAGAGCAATCCACAATCGGCGTGGCGATTACACTCCTTACACTAACATGCTCCTTACACTAACTCCTTACACTAACATGCTCCTTACACTAACTCCTTACACTAACATGCCTTACAACCTTAAACAGAAGTTTTATAACAGTCTAAAATAGCCATACCCACAAGGTTATAACATTTGCATTGCAAAACACATCATATCTTTATCAAAAACATGAAAATAACATTTGATTGAATTTAGCGCAGACCACGTACCCGAAAAAAGCCGGCGTCGGCCATGGTGATGAAAGAGTCTCAAACGAAAGTTTGCCTTTAGTTTACAAAGGCATCCTGAAGTTAAAACCGTAAACCAAGCTGTAAACTATGGTTCGAAAGTGAATAACTTGCCAAACTGGAATGAGGTACGGTGGTGGTAACGCTATTTGTAAACTCTCCAATTCGCAGTTTTCAATTGCATTACGCGTATTTTTTTGTATTGTGCGCTGAAATTGTATTCAATGAACAGCTGATTAAATAACTCACTAAAGTACTGCCACAGATTCGCTTCAGGCCTATATTGCGTGTCATTGAAGTCAATGTGTTCGAGCATCGACATTCGACTCTCACTGTACGCACGGTGTATATTATTTTCACGCCAGTGGCACTGCGAGGGTATCAGTGGGGTCAAATGACCATAACTTTATGATGGATCCCCTGCTCAGTCGGAATCATTTGATTGAGCAGAACCAAAAGCCGTCGTTTATCCAAGGATATACTACTCGTTTATCCCACTCCCATGGTGCTCGGTAGCAGTGGCGGATCCAGGGGGGCAAAATGGGCATTTGCCCCTCCCAAACGGCATAATTTTAACATTACGCCTATGGACGAGGCATGGAAAGAATCGATAAATTGTTATGGTTTGCCCCCCCCCCCCAAAAAAAAACAACTCTGAGCTGGATCCGCCACTGCTCGGTAGGGACTAGGGACTAGGGTCTTTTTGTTCAAAACGGGCCGAATCGGATCTGTGATTTTTCCAAACTTCCCACTGCCCGATGTACGGGACCTGGTTCTGAGAAATGCCTAGTGACATAAGGAATACCTAGTGATGTCAATTACGGAAAATCGGAATACCGATACCAAACCAAATACCAACCAAAACCGCGGAGAAATACCGAAACCAAACCAACTTGGGAACATGAGGAAAATACCAGCCTTTTACCGATTTCTTAGCCTCTTAAACACATAAGCGAGGGCTCATGATACCAACAAAATACCAAACACATTAGGATTACAATACCAAATACCGAGTTGGTATCGGTTTGGTATCGGTACTTATACCAAAAAGTTGGTACCTATCCGATTGACATCTCTAATAAAAGAACCAGATAGACAGACGGTCACGGGACCCTGATTTCTTGTAAGAAATGTTTGGACACAGTCACACATGACCATGAGGAGCCTGATGCAATGATTCCTATTGCAATTAACGCCTGGGCAATGCAAGATATCTATTTCCCTTTTACAAAGTTAGTTAGCTTTGTCCATCGCACTTCGTCCATTCTTCGTTCGTCGTAGCCCTTCCCATCAACCGCATACTATCCCCGTCGATCGAGCGCCGGAGCAACCCTGGGTCTCTCCCCATCGGGAGTCCATGCTCTGTCAACCGGGATGGACGACGTTTGGGCGCTGTGAGAATGGGGTGGGACCCGGCTCTTACCAATGTCCTTGGAGTCACCCAGGACTTTGGAGCCTTGGGAAACGGGCCGCGAGATCAGATTCCACTGACGAATAATGGAGTCCGGTCCACCACGGAACAAAATGTACTTAGGGCCATTGAGGAAAACGCAGGGACCTGGTGAGGCGGGCCTGATTCCACTAATGGGCCATGGGCTGGATCGAAGAGCCCTGGATCTAATTTAGGATGTTTTTTTTTCTGATTTTGTTTTATTCAACATCCGGTTCATTTCCCCCGACTCGATTTTATTCAATGTCTACTGGTCCCAGGGTCTAAATCGGACGAGCTTGGCTTCACTTTATCCGCACCGTGCCAGTGCAGTGGTTCGACTCCGATCGTGACAACTCGAAGCTCGGCGAGGGACAACTCAATCGATAGTCAATAGATGTGATCCGGTGACCTGACATTAAATGACCGAAGCTAAAAATGTTACATGCTCGGAACAGATGCTCAATAAGATGTACAAACCAAAAAAAAAAAAAAAAAAAAAAAACAACAACAACAACAAAAACAGTGGCATCGCCAAAAAAGGGAAGGGGCATAACCTCAACCTACTGCCAGTTATACCGAAATACCTTATTTGCTTTCCTCATATTCGTATCTACGTATTTAAAATGAAAGATAAGAGGGTGTACCGTGACGCCCGCTGACAACTCGGTACTGGGTCACGGTCGCCGGTCACGTGATTTCCCACGGGTCAGTGGGCCAATGGCATCGCTCGTGTTATGTGTGAAGCAGTGAAACCGGCAAAGCAGGCGTGCGAGACGGGATTACCTACTGGGTGCCTGTCTGTGCCAGCGACTCAGTGAGCCGAGCTGACCGCAGACACCTGTTTGTGGTGGATTGTGAGTCACTGAGTTGTGTTCCTGCTTATCTGTCAGCTCAGGTGTACGGCAAGCTGCGACACTGCAAACCGGAATCAAAACGTATCATTGATAAAGTCTTAGGTGCGTCATATATTGCAGTGATGATATTGCACTTGCAAACATGATGATCAGAGAAAACTTTTAAATGCTCTTGAATGACTTGTCTCATTTCTGAGGATCCAGAGAGTCTTAGTGAACGATTGGAGACGCTCGTTTTGAGTCTGTGATTAGTGTGAATAATCACGGCGCTGCTCCGCCTCGATAGACGGAACTCAACCTATATATTGCCTCGATGCTCCGCCTATAGGTGTATATATTTTTAACCTTGTCACCTATAGGTATTGCGATACGGCTAACGTGGTAAATGCGTATCAAAATGACTTGTTATAGTAAAGTTGGCGATCTTATGATCACTCATGACGTTTTGCAGGCATACCTACATGTCACCGTACCGTCCGTCACCTAGGCACCGTAGGTAACACCCACGGTATTCCCATACTTACGAAAGCGATTTACTCCAGTCGCATTTCTCTTGCCGAGACGCTTCCGATAACATACAATGCCGGTCCACATGCAAGTCAAACATGCATAGGCGGACAAAGTGTTTGAACGGTAACCTCGACTGATCCGGATCCTCACTTCGAGCGCCGTTATCCAGACCAGAAACGACAAAAAAGTTGACCTCAGTATCAGCTTCTATGAATGTTCTCTTCTCACGCTTTGCGCTCATTCTCAATAGATACCTAAGTTACCTACTTGTGTTAAACACATGTGCATAACAATGTCACAATCGAAGTGACAAGGAAGAAAGTGTACTTGCTTGATGTAACAAGGCATATTTACCCGAAGAACATGAGATGATATGGATAGCATTATCTTTATAGGAGAGGCTTGTTTTCAATCTGGTACCTATCCACAAAACAAATCTAAATGTTGATTCTCCCTGGCTACGAGTAGGAGAAAAGGCTATCTCTTCCAGCGGGCTACTAAGCAACTTGAACGAGCGAACAAAGCACGTTTTACCGATTTTTAGGACTCCGGTCAACCGGTTATCTCTAAGGTCATGTTAAAAGCCCCAAGGTATGGGTCCTGTTATTGGTAGGCATACGACTTCGCCAAAAAATGGTGGCATACTCGCTTTAACTGAAAGCGGCTTAACCGCTTTAATTTCATTTTAATGATTGATATCGCGTTTGTGGTGATCAGGCGCGTCGAAAAATATCTTTTTGTTTGGAAAAGGTGTTGTCCTCTTGTCAAATTTCAAGTTCAGTTAAATGTCGCTCAGGCCACGAAAGAAGCCACGGTGCCTGTAATCCGATTCTGATATTGCAATTTTTCTGAATTCACTGGCGACCTTTCCGACTTGCTATATCTTAATTTGATTGGAGTTAATGACACGTAGATGTTGTGAGGTCACGTAGCCGACCTGACATCAATTAACTATGAAAACCTGTGATGAAGAAGCTGCGAGAATTCAAGTGTTTACTACATGGTGTCCCGAAAGTCTTGAAGCTTTTTTATTTTTGTTGTGCTATGCCACCGATTAACCCGGCAGTTGCTGGGGTATTTCGCCACCCACCGTTTGCTGGGGGGGGGGGGGGCGTTAAACGCCCCCAGCCGATAACTCGAGAACCAATAGGCGCAGCGAAACGCACGAGGCGGCAAACGAAAGACCGCGACGAGACGCTTCAGATGAGTACTTTAAAGTTGAATTTTGAGGTCACAGGTCAGGTCAAGGTCAGGTCAAACACCTGAAATCGGGCTTTCAGTAGCATGGACTTCAGGACTTCGCAATGGGCGCCTCTCGTCATAAACTCTGTCAAAACGGTGCACAATCCATCATATAAGGCCTACAAGAGTGTCAGCTCCATGCAGGGGTCAGTCAAGCATAGGTCAGGGTCAAGGTCAGGTCAACCGGGCAGGCACATATCCCCGAAAATAAAAACTGATATTCGCAGCCTGTGACACATGTTTTATGAGTAATTTGGGGCGTAGAACGATGGTGACATTCATTTTATCATATGTGTACGTGTTTGGCTAAAAACGTTCAATTTAAGAAATGCATGTATCATGGTCGTGAAGTAGTCACGAGAAATTGCCAAGATTCAGTAAGATTTTGGAAAATGCGGAACGATAATCAATAATCGAAGATAGCCATCTGATTGTTCATGGTATTGGCAGTCTAATGGCGTTTACTGCATGTCTGTATGTCTATTCTGTGATTTTATATGATTTTTTGAACATATGCCGTTTTTGGTCGAAAACTCAGAAATCATGACGTCACTAAATCCTCGATATCTCAAAAATTTTCCGACCGATTTTTTTTTGACACTTTGTCACAATAGACTTCAATCAATTCCCTACAGGTACCCAAAATTTGGCGCGCCTGCGGCGCGCCGTTTTTATACTATGGCCCGGCGAAAAAAGTGGGGGCGTTTAACGCCCCCCCCCCAGCAACTCGCGGGTTAAGACAAAAGGCACCTCAAACGAAAGAGGATGACAGAAGTTCTGTATTTACATGTGTAGGGCAGAACGCCACGTTAGTCAGTTGGTCCCGTTGTGAGTCACAAGAACGTGTGCAAGAGAGCACGCTCTCCGCCGCCGTCAAGTCTCCTGCTTGACGACTCTCCGGTGTCATGTCCGTTTTGCGGCTACAGAGGCCTGTTCCCTGGAGCGGACCACGCCACAGAATGGTTTTCTTATCGGAAAGCCTTTGGGCTGTTTTCAGTTTTCACACAATTCCATTTCGAAAATGAAGATCACTCGAGCGCGCTAGCAAAAACCCATTTCATTTATCTGATTCGACGCAGCATTATGGGGCAAAGGCAAATATAAAATATCAACCGGGCGCAAACCATACGCATCAGAAACTTTGGTTCATTTTATTCGTAGATGTGCGCACGTTAAACTTTAAAATTCATAGAAAACGGATTGGGTGGGGGGATGGGGGAGATGCATGGACCCCCGGGCGTTTTCACTGAAACAGAAACAGTGCACTTACATATCTATGCAGACTTCGATACTTTTCGTAGTTGTGTATAATTATTATAATGTCAGTCTCCCGGGTCTCCCCGGTACATCGTAAACCAATTAATGACTGATTGACATAGAACCTCCGGGTCGCTTCAGACAAGCACCTTGTCTAATTCGATCTACTCGCTAATCCAAGGCATTGAGTAATCTCATCACAGTTCCACCTGTGTATTTGCCCGGGGCGATGGCCTGTGCGATGGGGTCGTTCCGCCGTCCTGTGCCGCGGGCTGCGGGGGTCGGTCCGCCGGCCGGCCGGCCGGCCGGGGGGCGCCCGTATAAGAGGTGCACGGGGGCGGGCCGCCGGCAGTGTCCGTTGCAGAGGTCCAGTGCGCGCGCCATCGTGTGCCGGCAGTGCCGACTCGGAGCGTCCGTTAGTACCCCCAAAGACTGGTCGCGATGCGGCGGCTCGCTCTGCTTGCCGTGGTGTCGGCGGCGCTCGCGCTGCCAGTGCAGGATGTGCCCACCGTCTTCAAGGCGAAGGAGGACCCAAAAGGTAAGCTCAGAAAGTATCGGTGGTTGTCTATTTATATTTCTACATGACTCGTCATGCGAATTGCTGTAGCCAGGAATCCTTAGGAGTCCTGTCATTGTTGGTGCTCATTTTAGTGTTACAATAAATTGGTATATTTTCATAAATCTGTGTTCATTGACAAGCTAATTCAAATTGAATCATTTATTAAGGCTTAACCCGCGCCCTGGTGGGGTCTGTTTATAACGCGACCTGGTGGGGGGGGGGCTATTTTTTGCCCCCCTCGTATCTCCGAAACTACTGGACGGATCCGCAAAATTCAAACGGCGTTCGAAAGGCCTGTCAAATTTGTCGAGGGAAACCAAATTTCATTGACCTCGGGGTCACCGATGACGTCACAGGTCAGGTCAAAGATGAAATGTTTCACCGTTCACGGGTCATCTAGGGAATGCGCTATAACACCGAAGAAAACGCATTTTGTCGAAAATCAGCGATAGGGCGTCAGTTGCCTAGTACATATATTGCTATAAGAGGTCACTGACATTACCAGGTCAGGTCACAGGTCAGGTCACCAAGGGTCACAGGTCAGGTCACATGAGTCCAACTTTACTAAGGTTGTGCGATGCATGTTTTATGGCCAATTTTTCATTTCCAACTCAGTGGTGTTGGTTATAAGACTATCAGGTACGGCTTAGGTCACTTTCTGGTGGAGGTCAGGTCAAGGTCAGGTCAAAAAAGGTCAAATTTCAAAGTTGATATTTTTGCATAAAATGGGTATTGATTCGATGCAGCTCGTCACGGGGAGTCTAATGGTGGTCTTTGTTTTGCGCTACGAGGTCTAGAATTGCAAAAAATTGAGTTTGAAAATTTGACGTCATCAATTTTGAACAGTTTTTTCGCTGTAACTTGGCCAAAAAAGAGGTATCGATCTCAAATTTGGTATGCAGATAGAAGGCGGTAAGGACTATCACATATATTCCGGTTTTTTTCAAAATTCAAAAAACTTTTTGGATTTTTCGGCTATTATAATCAAAAAATCTATTTTTTGATTTTTGGGGGTCAAAATCCAAAAATTTCAAAAATCCGAGATAGGAGTTTTGTAGCCCTGTCAATTCTACAGCTTTTATGTCTTTATCGTTTTTCTGTATTTGCAAAGCTATAGGCCTGACAGCTCTTCCCGCGAAACCCTTTTTTGGGTCGAAAACGGCAGAACATGACGTCACTCTGACGTCATTTCCGGCCAACCTATCATAGCCTTTGGAAAAATTTTTGGTCACAATGTGTAAAATTGATGTCCGGGAGGGTACTGAAAGTTTGGTGACGATCGGCGCAGCGGTTCTGGAGATATATCGAAAAGTCTGGAGGGGGGGGGGGGCAAAAAATAGCCCCCCCCCCACCAGGGCGCGGGTTAAGGTCATACCTATTGATGTATTTTTTGTACTTATATCTTATATGGCTTCTTTATTTTCAAACGTGCAGTCGGAAATCGTTTGAAGTCAGTGACAGATCAAAAGCATCATGGCGTAGATGTTTGACACGCCACTCAAATTTGAACAAAGAATGGAAAAGAAAACACGTTTCGGCCGCAAAGTGACCAGTGAAATAATACGGTTAAACATGTCTGATGTTCCGCTTTTTTTCTTCTGTGCCCCTTAATAAATTTCAAACCATAATGGCTATAGAGTCCATTTGCCAAGTTGTGAGAAGTCATTTAGCAGACAGGCAGAGAGGCAAGGTCACGTCATTTCTAGTTTCATTTAGCGAGCAATTTGCGAATCGCTTGTTCTGAATTATGAGACTCTGGAAATTTTATGAAGCTTTTGCCAAATTGAAACCAATTTGAACAACTAACTATGCATATTCGGAACGGTGATAACCGACTGTTGTGCTTTGGAAATTGCTTTAATGTTGGGAAACAAAATTATCTTTGAAATCAAATACGGATAACTCTACTAATATGAAGCTTAGAAATTCACATGATATACGTAATGCAAAGCCCTCCTAGCATTGTATGGTCGATTTTCTTATTACGAAATTCTAGAGTAACTCGAAGGTTATAGGCTATCATACACTCGGAAATCATGCAAATCTCGCGATAGGATAGGTTGACTGCGCGGCTCGTAAACGCTAAAAGCCGTGGCGATCCCTATAAGTACCTGCAAATACAATCAGACTTAACGTCCACTTGGTTTGTCCAACAAAGACTACGAACCGTATTTCATCAAAATATTATCATCCTGTAGCTTTTTGTTTACCAAACTTGTCACGAAGCTTCGTACCTAAATGACGCACCACGCATTAACAAACGTGTTATCAAAGACTGACAGAAAACACAGCCCTCGAGCTATTCTTGGATTTGCCGATATGCGAATTTCTACCAGGCAGAAATATGACGGCCTTGTTGATAGGTACTTTAGTGGTGATAGTCAATTGTCCCTGATAGAATAGGACTAGATCAATGATCTTTTATCATCATGCATTAGACTGCCGAGAATAGCGTTGCTTTATATAATGCGAAAGAAAGTCAGATGTAATCAAATAGGTAATATGGTGTAATCTGCGTGAACCTTTCTGACCCTGGTTGTTATTTTCAGCCCTTTGCTACACGACTGGGCCGGTAGCCGGCGATCCCTGCACCTACTGCAAGTGCTTCTCCCCTGGAAATTGCATCGTAAGTGATCCTTTCGGGTACCGATTTACATATCAGCGTTTAGTTGTAAGTTTTGAACAGCACCACACCAAGTCCAATCGGGATATTTTACTACAGTCTACATAGTTGCACACTTATGGATTAGGTACACGATTTTATGAACATTTATTTTATGTACCAGGTATTACAACGTCGAGCGTATACGTTATCAGATTCTCACCCCTGCACCAATTCAGTTTGGCATTCACTTCGTTTCTCATCGGCCTTGAGTTGATTAAAACGCTTATGAGTCCGGCACGTTTTCAGAGAATACCTCACTGGCATTCTTTGGTGGCATGCTATACCAGTGTAGCGAGTGGCGAGTGTAGTTATCACCTGCCTTCCACCGATCATACGGCCGTGCTGGCCCGTATTTGGTGCGCTCGCCTGCGCATTTTTCAGGGGCGCTCGGTGCAGTTTTGTGACCGGCGGGGTCGGTGCCTGGAGTGCAGAAGCCGAGCAAGGCCACTCCTTTCCCCCTCCACCGGACAGTGCAGGTCTGCTCGCTTTCCGGGCACGGCTGCCGCTCGCGGGGCGCCGTCGGGGCGTCCGGACAGAGCAGGATGGACACTCCCGGACCCCGCGCATCCCTCCTGACACGGCTCCTCAGTCGGATCGGCTGTTGTCCGGTGCACCATTTCCTCCGACGAGGAAACTACTGCCCTCGGCAGTACACGGAGTTCCTCAATCAAACATTCTCGCCTTTCCGCCTCGAGGGATTTTTATGTTATTGAGGACTCCAATCCTGCTTAACGAGGTGCTTCGCTCCATGCGAAAATGTCAAAAGATCATCATCCTGATTGACTATTGTCTGGTATGTACACCGTGCATGGACACAACGGAAAATCTCAAGGATTCCTACTCGTACAAGACGTGGCGGCACCATTACACTGCTTCTTCATGTCCTTAGGTCGTTTCACAATTTCACAATATTCTCGTAAACAACTAGCCAATGGCATGCCTCTGGTAATCTTCATCTTAATCCCACGCCCAGAGGCTGTAAGTCAGGGACACGAGGCCGCTGGTCAGCAGAGCTGAAACCGATCAATTCCACGGAATTTGAGATTTACTGGGTTGTCCATTAGTCATAGTACACCAAATATTATTTGCATAGTTCTTTCCCTTATTATATATTTTGTTGGTATGGTATGCAAACTTTAGCCAACACATAGGTATTTTACAAAAATCTCTTATTTCACCCGCACCGTAGCTCTCTTGTCGAATGTAAATTGTGCTGCGTTCATCAGTGATCAGAGTGCCCGTCTTTCACCGGTCTGTTTGTCTGTTGCAGCCGGTGACCGCCGAGTGCGACTGGGACAAGAACGCGGCGGAGCACACGGCCAACGGCTGCGAGGCCGTCTACAAGCCGGGCATCTGCTGTCCCACCGTGAAGTGCCCCGACAGCGCAGCCGCCGAACCCGCAGGCCAGGGTGCCGAGGCTGCTGCTGCTGGGTATGAACAAACAGCAGCAGAGCCGAAAACTCCTGTCGATGTCGCCACTCCTGAGGCTGAAGGTGCAGCAACCGAGACGGAGGCATCCGCGGAAGGTGTTTCCGCCGACGCGGGTGTTTCGACTGAAGCCGCAGCTGCTGAAGCGGAGGTTCCGAATGAAACCGTAACCACTGAGGCGGAGACTCCCGCAGGTTCTGCCGCATACGAACCGCAGACTCCTGCTGAGCCAGCTGCTGTTGAGGTGGACATCCCAGCTGAAGCTGTAGTTGATGAGGTGACTCTTGGCGAGCCCGTTATCGTAGAGGAACAGGTTCCGGTTGTGCCTGTAGTAGTGGAGGAAACTCCCGCCGAGACTGTCGTAGTGGAAGAAACTCCCGCCGAAACTGTGGTAGTGGAAGAAACTCCTACCAAAACTGTGGTAGTGGAAGAAACCCCAGCCGAAACCGTGATTGTGGAGGAAACTCCCTCCGAAACTGTGGTAGTGGAAGAAACTCCTGCCAAAACTGTGGTAGTGGAAGAAACTCCAGCTGAAGCTGTGGTAGTGGAGGAAACTCCCGCTGGGACTCTGGTAGTTGAGGAAACTCCCGGCGAGACTGTGGTAGTGGAAGAAACTCCAACCGAGACTGTGGTAGTGGAAGAAACTCCAGCCGAGACTGTGATCGTGGAAGAAACCCCAGCTGAAGCTGTGGTTGTTGAGGAAACTCCCGCCGAGGCTGTGGTTGTGGAGGAAACTCCTGCCGAGGCCGTGGTGGTGGAAGAAGTTCCGGTGGAGCCTGTACTTGTGGAGGAAGTTGCGATTCAACCAGTAATTGAGGAAGAAACTGTATATGTGCCAGTGGCTGTCGAAGAGACTCCAACTGCAACTGTGGTTGTAGAAGAAGCTGTCCAAGAACCCGTACTTCTGGAAGAGGCTTCTGTTGTGTCTGAAATTGTAGAGGCTCCCGTTGTTCCTGTCGTTAAGGAGCAAATCGACGTCTTGGAGCCTATTGTAGCTGAACCTGTGGTTATTTCAGAAGCCACTTACCCTGAAACTACCGGCGAACCAGCGTCACCCGAGCCGGCTGAGACCCCAGTTGGGTCTGAGGCATCAACACCAGAGGCTCCTTCTGAACCCAAGGGTGCTGAACCAGTAACTCCTACCAAGTCGGAGGCAAAGGAGCCAGAGCCGGAGACGAAGGAACCAGAATCTCCTGAACCGGAAACGAAGGAACCAGAATCCCCCGAGCCGGAAACAAAAGAACCAGAAGCTCCTGAGCCAGAAACAAAGGAGCCAGAATATCCTGAATCGAAATCAAAGAAGTCAAAGGAATCGAAATCACGTGAGCCGGAAACAAAGGAACCAGAAGCTCCTGAGCCGGAAACAAAAGAACCGGAATCTCCTGAGCCAGAATCTCCTGAGCCAGAAACGAAGGAGCCGGAAACGAAAGAGCCAGAACCAGTTGAACCGGAAGTGAAGGATGTAAAGCAGCCGGAACCCTCTAAACGTAAAAACAAAAAGCTCCGCACGTCCTACGAACCAGCTCCAGAATCCGCCAATGGATTTGGTGTTGCTGAGAACTATTTCGTGTCCACCCTGGAAGGCAAGGACCCTGATGCCAAGCCCGGCATCGTGCTGCAGGGTACTTCTGCGCTTCAACTTGCTGAGGAGATATCGGAGCCGGAGGACCAGCTGCTTCAGGCCACAGTAACGCTGCAGCAGCTGCAGCTGGCCAAGGGCCCCGTCCTGGAGAGCAACTCGGCGGAGCAGCTGGCCGCCGAAATCTCAAACCAGTTCCCCAATGACGAGCTGATCAAGGAAGTGATCGCCGAGATCACGGGTCCCGGCGCTGAGGCCATTGGCGATGTCATCTCGGAGATAAACGCCGCGCCGGCCGAGGAGGCCATTCAGAAAGAGATTTCTAGCGTGGACCCGCACCCGCAGCACACCCAGGAGGTGGTGCTCGAAATGACGCCCGACCAGATCCGCAAGGTGATTGCCGCCCTGGCGCCCGAGGAGGGAGTCGTGACGCAGACCGAAGCCATCGACGAGGTGCTCTCGGAGATGGCGACAGAGACCGAGCCGGCCACCTCGGAGGCGCCCGTCACCACTGCTGATCCTTACCAGGAGCAGGGTGATGTGCACACAGAAATTATCACCAAGAAGGAGCCGATCGTGATCGCCAGCAAGGAGCCGCTGATCGTCGTCAGCGACCAGCCGGTGATCGTCGTCAACGAGGACCCTGTGCTCAGCAACGACATCTACAGCGATGTCCCGTTCGCCGAGGAGAAGGCGGCGCTGACGCCCTCCGACGAGCTGCTGCCGGCCGCCGCCGCCGTCGAGGAGACCGTCTTCCTGGACACGGTGCCCGAGCCTGTGCCCGAGGGCTCCGGCGAGTTGGCGGCGGAGGCGCCCGTCGCCGAGGTGGAGGGAAGTGGGTACCTGGTGTGAGCTGACACGGCCTGCTGAGAGACGAGCAGCCACCAGCGTCACTCACCGAGCTGCAGCTCACTGGCAGCATTCAACAGGCTGAAAGGCGCCTTGGGTCATCAGCTTTTGCTTATTTCTTGTGGTCTGCCGGGCTGTTTTAAAGCATATTGATGGCTTGGTCCTCGGGAAAGTGAAAGCTGTTTGCGGTTGTTTCGGTAATGTCGGAGATTAAGTGCCTTGTGATATTGTTATGTCCATATAGGTTTATTTCTTCGCTTCTAGCTCACGATCAAATACAAGGGAACTGGCTTAAAATGATATTCTTATCTTACAATGTGCACATACTTTAGCATATATCTACCTACTGTTTAGGTTTTCATCTTTCGCTTAAGTAGGTACACAAAAATGAGTAGTTTTTTCTGGGTGTGATATACCTATAGGTCAAGAGTGATGATGTGACTTGTCAATTCGTTTGTGAATAATATATTGACTACTAAAACGGAAATATGATGAGTTTTTTTACTATTCGAATGTATGTTCCAGAACTTCGACTCAATTATAGAAAATACGCTGAACGCGGTTTTTGGCGACGCTGAGGTCTTTAATATTCTAATTTACACGATGAGTTGGCAAAATTACGGAAATGTGAAAACGTAAAACAAATTAGGTGCTTTAGCTGTCCGTATTTCACATAAGTGGATCAGACATCCCTGGATCTGTCAGTAGGCAAACCGCAAACAAAAATCAAGAGTTGGTGAATCTTTGCTGAATATCAATTAGGTCGTTTAGGGGCGTATATTGAGGCTAGCCTCTATCACAACATTGGTAACCAAGCTGCTTGGGGAAACGTAAACACTCAAACAGATATGCACACTCGTAGAATATTACTTCCATTCGTTATTGAACACCAACTCAAGGACAATATGGTATAGCGCCACCCATAGCCCATACTGTCACCGAACTCGACAATTTCAATCGCCAAATCATACACACGAGACTCCTCACACAATCCTGCACTGATCAGTGTAGGTACGGAGGAGTGCGACCCGGCCCGTCACGTCATCTCGACGTGAAGCGGCCGAGCAGTGTCGAGCTGTGCCGCCATTGTCGGCACGCTGTCCGGCCACCACCCATCAGACCGGTATCCGGGACGTGGAGCTCCACGCGAGGCCCCGTTTTCCTCCTGTCCTGGCAGCAGTACGGGGCCGACAGCCACGCTATCCCGGTCGAAACTGACCGGGGACGAGCCAACTGGCGTGCCAAGGTCATCGGCGCTCCTCCATAGTCGGCCTCCTGTCAGAGGTGGAACCTTCGAATTCGGCTCAGCTGGTGTAGATTAGCGATCGCGGTTTCCAGTTGCTGCCGAGTTTGCGATGAATATCCTTCCAGGCGGTGGGGGGGGGACATTTTTTGCCCCCCCCCCCTTAGTTTTTTCGATATATCTCGAGAACCGCTGCGCCGATCGTCACCAAACTTTCAGTACCCTCCCGGGAGCAGCTAGCGCACATGGTGACCAAAATTTTTTCCAAAGGCTATGATAGGTTGGCCGCTAATGACGTCAGAGTGACGTCATTTTTGCCATTTTCGACCCAAAAAAAAGGTTTCGCGGGAAGAGCTGTCAGGCCTACAGCTTTAGAGATACAGAAAAATGTTTCAGACATAAAAGGTGTGGAATTAAAAGGGCTACAAAACTGCTATTTCGGTTTTTCGATTTTTTTTGGATTTTGACCCCCAAAAATAAAAAATAGATTTTTTTGAACATAATAGCCAAAAAATCCAAAAAGTTTTTTGAATTTCGAAAAAACCTTAATGTATGTGATAGCCCCTACCGCCTTCTATCTACATACCAAATTTGAGATCGATACCTCTTTTTTTTGGCCAAGTTATAGCGAAAAAAACTGTTCAAAATTGATGACGTCAAATTTTCAAACTCAATTTTTAGCAATTCTAGACCTTGTAGCGCAAAACAAAGACCACCATTAGACTCCCCGTGACGAGCTGCATCGAATCGATACCCATTTTATGCAAAAATATCAACTTTGAAATTTGACCTTTTTTGACCTGACCTTGACCTGACCTCCACCAGAAAGTGACCTAAACCGTACCTGATGGTCTTATAACCAGCACCATTGAGTTGGAAATGAAAAACTGGCCATAAAACATGCATCGCATAACCTTAGTAAAGTTGGGCTCATGTGGTGACCCTTGGTGACCTTTGGTGGCCTGACCTGTGACCTGACCTGGTATGACCAGTGACCTCTAATAGCAACATATGTACTAGACAACTGACGCCTTATCGCTGATTTTCGACAAAATGCGTTTTACTCGGTGTTATAGCGCCTTCCCTAGAAGCCCCGTGAACGGTGAAACATTTTATCTTTGACCTGACCTGTGACGTCACCGGTGACCCCGAGGTCAATGAAATTTGGTTGCCCTTGACAAATTTGACAGGGCTATCGAACGCCGTTTGAATTTTCCGGATCCGTCCAGTAGTTTCGGAGATACGGGGGGGGGGCAAAAAAGTGCCCCCCCCCACCGCGCGGAAGGTGGCTGGTAGGCCCACCGCCTGCCGGGATATGGTGCTTGGATCGCCTTTCCCCGTCTGGGATTTGTCCTGGGGCCGTATTCAGGTCGACTTCGAAAGTCGATTTTCTTTCGTAAGTATAATTTGGTATTCACGTCGACACTTCGTAAGTTTTTACCGACGGAGTTCACGTAACTAAAAAAATTCTCAAGACGTAGTTCATGCGTAAGAAAATTCTTGCGAAATGATCGTCGGGAATACGGCCCAAGAACTCTGTTTACCAGAGGAGATCATAGGAGGTGAACCGTTGTCGCCTCCCTGCTAACTGCGGGTCTTCTGTGCCAATTTTTTTATAATCCAAAAATGTTATAACAGTAGGTAAAGCGCCCAAAAAAACATTAGGTATGGAAGATGTCCGGCAGCGCAACCCACCTGTTCGGGCTAGCTCGCTGTTTGAAAGTGACTTCGCTGCGATAAAGAGTCTGGAAAAAAATGCCAAGAGTCTCGCGGGAGAACAGGGCCGCGACCCACAGGTACCGGAGGCTGGCGTATCGCTCGACCGACTGCGTGAGCGCCACTTACAGCCAGGTACCACAACCAGCACAGCATAATATCCGCAGACTTTTGAACGTACCTACATTTTAGCAACGAATGCATTGTTCACTCTGCACCACCCTTTGGCCACCTGCAGGAACAGAGGTGCGGTATTTTAGTATTGCGCAGAGCCCCTATCTTTACACACCGATTCACTGTGGTCATGCGCCACTGCTGATTTGACTAACTGTGGGTAAAGCAGAACTGGAACATCCAATCGAGCAGAACTGGAACATCCACATCTTTTCGGGAAGACACTCTTCGTGATGAATTCACGACTTGCCTAATTTCCTTTCATGCTTCTTTGCACAAAAGTGTGTTGGAACTAGTGATGTCAATTACGGAAAATCGGAATACCGATACCAAACCAAATACCAACTAAAACCATGGGAAAATACCGAAACCAAACCAACTTGGGAAACTGAGGGAAATACCAAATTTTTACCGATTTCTTAGCCTCTTATACATTAGTGAGGGCTTATGATACCAACAAAATACCAAACACATTACGACTGAAATACCAAATACCAAGTTGGTATCGGTTTGGTATCGGTATACCAAAAAGTTGGTATCCGATTGACATCTCTAGTTGGAACGCTCGAGAACAAAACCAGCTGCATACCGATAAGACTTCTTTTAGGAGCATACGACATGTGTTTTCCATTTTGCAATGTCTTCAGTGTTTGCACAATAGGAAACCCTAGTGCAAAATGATGTTACTTTGGAACTACATAATTGGTGAATTAGGTACGTACCTAGACCTCTTTAAATACGAGACTAATTTGTTTCGAATCGGTAACGATATTAAGCCACATTGATTAAACAAATGGCGAACAACCATTAGTTATTTGTATTGTTATATGTACAAACATTCCGAAAAGCTTGCTTCAAAAGATGACTAAGTATCCTGTTTTTACTTATTTGCCAAATCTTATTAGTCAATACAATAAATTAATTGAAGTAGGTATGTCTCGTTTCTTTTATCCTTTGTAAGCATCTGGGAAGACCACATACCTACTTATTGTCGTTACATAGCTCACGATCCAAGTAAGAGCGAATCGTCAAAACGCCTCCCCGGTCTCGATACGCTTTGATCGGACCACCTCCATGATCATTGCCTGAATTACATCTCACTAGTAGAAGTCATTCTTGTTAGGTACGGAGCGAGCGAAGCGAGCGTAGTCTTTCGTTGAAATTTTCTTATGAAATTTCTGAGCATGAGCGGCCGGTCGGCCGACCGTGCGGACGCTTTTGCGAGGCTTATATCTCAGCAACATCTTGACCGATTTACATGCGGTATTTTTTGGGTAGCTTCATTCCTTCTACCAAGTATTGGATCATTTCCGATGCATGCATGGGTGACCCCGTATGCACGTGCCACGTACAAAACGAAGAGGTGCCAGTGTGGTAACAATTGCAATATCTCGGTAACTACTTAGTTACTGGGCCGATCGCGCTGAAAGTTGGCATGTAGGTAGGCACCCACCAGTATCGGCGGAACACCTTCAATTAAGGGGGGGGGGGCACTGCCGACTTATGGTCCCATTCTTTCCATGCAACGCCCATAGGTCTGATGTTAAAATGGCAAAACCATCAAGGGGTGGGGGGCACGGTGCCCCGGTGCCCCCACGTTCCGCCGCCTATATGGCTCCCACTAGGCAATGCATATCCATGTGCCACAGTTGGGGTGCTGTTGCACGTGCGCACGTGCAGGGGTCGATTCCAGATCTCGAGAACGACTGATCCGATTGCGCTGAAATGTGGTTTATGGTTAGGGACCGGTTAGTAGGGTGCCGTGCAAAAGTCAGTTGGGACCAATTTTGCATGTGCGCACGTGCAGAGTGCCGCTTCCAGATCTCGGCAACGGCTAGGCCGATTGCGCTGAAATTTGGCACATCGCAAGGGATCGGTTAGTAGGGTGCAGTACACAAGTTAGTTGGAGGTGCACCCTCACAATTTCGCACGTGCAAGGCCCACCCTCTCGCTCGCTCCGTTGGTCGCCCCAAAAGGCGTTTTATACTGGTATTGTCATTTCCAGTTTTCACTATTAACTCGGAGGCTAGTCTGTCTGTTCCGTACTTGCCCGCTAACAGTCCATGGCCAGCATCCCACACTGATGCACACCAGGAAAGTGGGAATCTGGAAGTTTCCAGAACCAGTTCTGGCCGGATAACCTTCGGTACCTTCTCCCACACCTTTTGGGAGCGACTCGAGCTCGGTCGCATGTGGGAGCCTGCAGTGACCGAGTCACTTCTTTTCCCCGGGGCGGCGCCGTTTTCCTTCTGCTCGCTTCTTTTCAGCTCACGCTCTTGTTAGATTCGCAGAAACCGGTCATTATGTCCCACTAGCATGGCAGCGTCGCTTCCACATCAATTTAATTGACAGTTAC